TAACATTGCGAGCTCGCCGAGTCGCCAACTCTGTGTGGGGCTTTACGAGTTTTGCCGCAGCGAGCTCGCGCTGCTTGGCTACCCCCGTATCCTTCAACATTGCGAGCTTGCCGAGCGACCTGACTCTGATCGGGGTTTTAGAGTACATTCTGAGGTAGTTTTTTTAAGGCTATGCTATGTATCATGCTTGAGAAGATGGAAATTTCCTCTGTGGTTTAATGTCTGTTGACGTAAGGCATTTTAAAGAGTTACGAATATTTAGCGTGTTTCTTATGACTTTCCGACTGACTAGTAATATTTCATCATAAGCCATCTCGACCACCTCGGTACAACGAAATGTGGAAATGTATCGTTAAGGTAGAGCACCGTGCTGTGAACGCAGCGTCATAATTTCTTTGTTACAGCGCCGAAAAAAAAGACTTGGGGGTAATGCCGTCGATCTGCCCAGATAGTGAGTGTCTCCGTCATCGCTGTTTAGTGCAATTGCGTATCTGGCAGGGCACGGCATCAACTGTCATTGGAGCAGTGAGCGAGAAGGCTATAAACAGCTGATTCTGACAACCGATGCCGTGCCCTGCCTGGTACGCAATTGCACTAAACCGCGATGACCGAGGCACTATCTGAGTGAATCGACGGCATATACATGGCTCCTGCTGCGATATGTGCATACATCCTGACCATGGTCTGGTTATATACTTGGTCACGATCTTGAACGGGCACAATCTTGGACGCTGTCTTGACTGTACCGCGGAAAAGTATTGTATTAACCAGTTATGATCAGCCGCTATATGCATGCCGCCACGATAAAGTGCTGATGATGATCGGGTACTATGCTATCCTATGTCACGATCAGGAGTGGTATGTATCAATAGTCTGTTCGGGCAGATTGATCGTATTTGATCCGTATACCTTTATCACAGTGTGTTTGCGCAATAGTCTCATCAGACATGTTTGATCGCCCTCTAATCTTCTGTAAAAGAGCACGATCCCTTGAGATCGAATAGTGAATGCACTGCTATGTCAGAGAGTGGATGGTGATTGAACAATTCCGTTCGAACAATCTACACGAACACTATGATAAAGTATAGAAATCAAACACGATCAATCTGTGCGAACAGACTGTTAATACATACCACCCCAGGAGAGCGTTCACGAGATGCCACGATAAGGCGTATCATCCGACCATGATCAGGATTTATACGGATACTATCAACGAAAGCTATCTGACGGAGACCTGCAGCGCTTCCCCTAGTTCTGGCTCATTCACGTAGTACTTCGCAGTGTCAAACATTCGATATCCACAGGAGAGGGCAGCATCTACGGCTGGCTTAACCTAAACAGGGACATCAAGTTATCAAATTAGAGACTCAGATATCTCCCAAATCAAATCTCACCTGACTTCCAGTAATCTTGTAAGTTCCTAGACCTATAAGGGGTATGTAATACCCAGTATTGAGTTTTGCCGCGCCTCCCCTAACCGACTGGAAGGCGTTTGCCATAGCTGAAAATACAAATACTGCAAAAAAAACATAGGAAGAGCTTATAAATTATTAGTGAGAAGATAAGAAAAGCGGAAGCAAGGTAAGAGTGAATAGGGCACAAAATCCGTTACGTATGCACCCTATGAGCTGATAATAAAATCTTGAGACCTTTATATCTGCACTACTCTTTTATGCTACATCCAGATTCTGAAGGCGTCGTTTCCTAGAGCAAACGTTTCCGATTAGTGCGATATAGCAGAAGTCCATGTTTAATGAAAACCTAGTTTATGACCAGGTTTTACTTTGAAACGCTAGAACCTTGGTGATAACAGCACCAAAATAAAGTGCGGAAGTACTGCAGTTAACAAAGCTTTGATCGGGTCGCTTAGAAAGTTCGTCGGGTTAAGCAAAACCGTCGTAACATGCCAAGCGCACAGTATTACCCAAAACATGAATGTTGTTTGGACATAGTGTTCTCACTCTCATACCTGTTCAAACAGATTAAAAAGATCAACTTCATGGCCACCCCACTCCCACTTTCCTTTAAATATATTTGCAGTGATTAACGTGGATGCCGCTGTTTCTGTTTTCGCGGTTTACTAACAGCAAAAGTATCTGAAATAACATAGTCAGCTATCTCAAAGACGGACATTAGTACCCTGCATCTCAACTAATTGCCTTACAAGCTCTCACAAATATTTTAAAGAAACAGCAACTATTAGCTGTTTAAGGAAGTGCTTTGTAAAGGTCAATCTTTTCCAGTAGCTTAAAAGGGCACTTTCTCAGAAAAGCTGTTCTGAAAAAAACAACATTTTCAGAAACTCGACAAACTTGAGGTACAGTTAGAAGGATCGTAAGTTTGCTGTGGAGCATAATGTAAATTTCCCTCTTCTACGTTACCAGTAAATTTTTCGCCAATTGGGGCTTCACCAAATTTCCCAAAATGCCCATCAAAACGCGATTTTTAAAGAAAAAACGGCAGTCCTGCAATTCGAAATCTGTTTCAGTCTAAACATATCATAGAAAAGAAAAAGCTGCATTCTTTTAGATACTCGCCCTCGGCTGAGAGGATACCAGCAAATGGGCCGGGTGCTCCTTCAGTTGCGGCCGGGAGACTCGACATGAAAAGTATATTTCGCTCACAATCACTTTGCGCTAGGTTATTATTAAGTTGAGTCGAAAATCTTGTCATAATCAGTTCGCAAGTATGAAACAAAAGGATTTACAAGAAATAGCGACCAATCTCAGCGGCTATCGAAAGCCTTGGATATAGTTACAAGAGAGTTTGTTTCTCTCCGAGAAAGCCTGCCTAGATCCAGAAATACTTCATTTTAAAAAGTAATTTCAAAATACCTGAAATTGAATTTCTTTCCAATATCTCTCGCACTTTTGATCGGATCTCAATATTGCATAGCATACATAAAGTTGTGAGCCTGCAGACATGGAAACATTTAGAATTTGGATCATTCTTTTCTTGACAAAAAATTATGACCTCATGTATTGAACAATCCTTGTTTTGGGGTTTTAAATCACTGCACTGCCTTAATAAGAGAATAAAAGACGAGCTGCAGGTCTCCGACAGAGGCATCCAGTAGCTTTGAAATATTCACAAAGTTTGGGCTTACTGATAGCCATCAGCAAAACTGGAGGGATCTATGCTCCATATGACTCCTCGGCGTGAACAACATTAGCACAGGCGTCTACCGCTAGGAACTTGTTCAAAAATTAGAGTCGCATGGCATTACCCAACCAGGTCATTATCATGTATGACTCTGGCAATGTATATGAGACCAACACGAATAAGTAACTCCGGATCAGCTTCGTTGTGAGAGCTGCATGAAAATTTCGAGTAAGATGACACTAGGAAAGGTTTCTCTTCAATTACATAAGTCGCTTGTGGTACAAGACAGCGAGAGCAGCTGGAAATGTGGTAGACTGCAACGGCAATGGTTTGCGGAACGTGGTAGCAGCATTTCCATTCTTACAAGGGAACCTACCCTACATACGGTGTTCAATCGAGATGATACATATATCATTGGAAAAGGTGTCCCAGAAGGATGTGAAAACTGGTAAGCAAGTTTGCTAAACGTTCATGATAAGCTCAAACAGTGCTTATCACAGTGAAATAACTCCAATTTACAATGTAAGCCAGGCGGCAGCTGGCACAGTGGATAGAGCAGTGGACTACAAAGCAGGAGGTCAGAGGTTCTGATCCTCCGCTTGGTCAAGGTTTTGCGTTCCGTTTTTGAAACCCTGCATACATATTACCGCTGCGCTTGGGTTTTTGCAACCACGACGTCCCTTATTCTGTCTACATACTGAATGTCGACAGTTCCAAACTTTGAAACCTACTTTGATAAATTCTCTTATAGAAGTTGTTTTAAAAGGCTAAAACATGCCGATCTTCAGCAGACGGCACTAGTCATTAACGCGAAGGAAACTCATGCTGACGGTTTTAAGGTTAGCGTAGTCCTCTCCACCCGTAAAAGGACTGGTTACCAACAGCTATCCAGTCTTCTTCTGCCCTGATCCAGTATTCTTCTGCCTCGAGCATGTCTCGAGTTCCTCCAGCACCTACAATTAGGTTGTCAGCCTCATAGTGTCCTTTGCGTGGGAAGGTGCCACTGAGCTCCTGAAGCAAGACGAAGAAGAGATGTTGACAAAGAACTCCATCCGCGCACAAAGTGGGAAGTATTGTAGAGTGGCCGAAGCCAGTTATCGTGGTATAGTGCCGTCTGCTGAAGATCGGCATGTTTTAGCCTTTTAAAACAACTTCTATAAGAGAATTTGTCAAAGTAGTTTCAAAGTTTGGAACTGTCGACATTCAGTATGTAGACAGAGTAAGGGATGTCGGGGTTGCAAAAACCCAAGCGCAGCGGTAATATGTATGCAGGGTTTCAAAAACGGAACGCAAAACCTTGACCAAGCGGAGGATCAGAACCTCTGACCTCCTGCTTTGTAGTCCACTGCTCTATCCACTGTGCCAGCTGCCGCCTGGCTTACATTGTAAATTGGAGTTATTTCACTGTGATAAGCACTGTCTGAGCTTATCAGGAACGTTTAGCAAATTTGCCCATCAGTTTTCACATCCTCCTGGGACAACTTTTTCAGTGGCATATGTATCATCTGGGTTGAACACCGTATATCCGGTAGGCTCCCTCGTTAGCTACGTCAACGTCAGTGTTGGAGGGAAAAAATAATTATTCTGTGGGAGTGAGCGCGACCTCTCCAAAAAAGCGCTGCCCAAAATTTTTGAAAGCCCCATGGAGAAGTATCTTATGATCCGCCGTATTCTCAAGGCGTTGTTCTGTCACATAGTTATTTTGTTCCTTGTTGAAGAATTATGTGGGCAGAGAAGAAAATTACACAAAGTGATAGCACGAAAATTTGACCGTTGTGCTTCTCCTTCGATCATAAAATGCTTGCTTCCTTTAAAAAATCTTGTGAAAGAGATAGTCGATGTGAAGCCTAAGGCAGTGGCTATCAGTACTGAATATCTGGATCCAGGAGCCTCGTTTATTCTAAAGTTATCTAGTTTGAAAATAAAATCGCAAATTACGACAAGACCTTCGACTCAACCTAATATCATTATGATGAGCCCCCGGCCTAAAGCTCCGCCCCAAAATGTGGAGCGACGCGTAAGTACATTAAGTAGAAATGTGAGGCCCTACCACTGAAGCCTTCAAAACTGTAAAAATTCGAATTTCCAACAGTGTTCACGGGTCTGGGTTAAGAGTAAGCAATAGGCAACGAGTATTTTGACCGCAATTCCTAAGTTTTTAAAACCCCCATGCCAAAGGCGATACGCATTCCGACATATGTAATTCACACAAAATTACATTTTACCCAACATACACATTAAAAAACCATTTTCTGCACACTGAAAAATATTCTTGAAAGTATGTCCCATTTGTACAAGCTGGAAATTCTCAAAAGATAGTGTGAAATCTGCTGCGTTTAACTTCTATCTTTTACTTCTTAATAGTCCATGCATATGACTAAACCAGCCCTTTTGAAAAACTTCATTAGCCCACAGTGACAGATCAATTCAACAAATTAGCATTCTCAGATAGTGATGAAATTATGCACAAACATGTGGGCATAGGTAATGGAATTAGATACACGTTTCTATATTGCTGCTCTTTTCGATAACCTCAACATCTCTTTCCATCCACGGAATACTTTTAAAAATTGTCAAATGTCCTTCTTTCAATCATAGGTGGAATACCGTCCAAATTTACGCCAGGGACCTTCATTTCTCCAAAGCTCGAGAGGGGGACCTTCACTTTGGACCTCCCCCCAACCCGCTCAGTTTCCGGCATATTTCACCACCACTCGCGGGACCTTTTCCAAATGCGAGGTGCTTTTTTGATAGAAGAAGGTTTACCCTATCGAATGGTGTATTTGGTTTTGCAAGCTCTTCTGCAAGTGCTGACAGATTGCGTCAAAGTCGAGCGATTTTCAAGTTTAATTGATAATATCAGGCTTCATTGAAAAGCAATCTCAAATGCGAGGTCCGCTCCGGACTCCTCTCATGATGAAGAATCGAACGAGATCATGTAAATGTTTTATCGGCCTGGT